CTACTACTACTAAAATTATATTCCATATATTCAATCTTAGTTATACTCAAACGAAGGCCTTTAAACTCCAAGGTAGACCTCCATAAATAAAGTTTTTCTGAGATTTTTCTCTCGACTTACCCAAGTGAAGGATATCATCAGCAAAAAGCATACACGAGGGTACATCCTCTTGAAGTGTCTAGTAAGACCAACCATAACTAAAGCAAAAAGATATGGGCTTAAAGCCGATCCCTGATGTAAACCAATAGAAATAAGAAAATATTTGATCAATCCTCCTTTTGTTCGAGCACAAATAACAGTTCTTGTATACACATCTTTAATGACTTGAATATAAGTCATATCAACACCTTTTTTCTCAAGAACTCTCCAAAAGATATCTCTTGAAACTTTATCGTAGGCTTTTTCTAAATCAATAAAAATCATATGTAGATCTTCCTTATTATCTCTGAACATCTCCATCAAACCTCTCAATAAATGTATAGCTTCCATAGTAGACCTGGCCAGCATAAATCTAAATTGATTATGAGAAATCTCTGTTATACTTATTAACCTATGTTCAATTAGTCTCTCTCATAATTTTAATGTATGACATAACAACTTAATTTCTCTAAAATTTGTACACTCTTGTGCATCCCCTCTATTCTTAAAAATGGGACCAAAATATTCTTCCTCCACTCCTCGGGCCAAAATTTTATATATGAAATAAATCAAATTTCAGTAATATAAATATCATTCTTATTTTAATATTTCAATTTTTAGAAGATTTTACATCAAGGAAATTCAAATAGTAATTTGATCGACATCGAAGTGAGTACTAATATTCTTATTCCATGGTAATACTTTTTTTTCGAAACCAAATATATTTATCAGTACTATCATTACTTATATTGAAATTACTGCAAACTCACGATTTTAAATTCTAATGAATTTTTATTCATATTGTAGAAATAATATGTGTGCACAACATTATGTAAATTATCATAGATATTGAATGATTTATAAGTATATTGACTGTTATGCAAATGAGAAATAAATACTTATTATTAAAAAATAATATTTTTATTGGATACTTGTATACACATAATTGAATATGATGAATTCACCCATTGATGGCATTAATGGGAAAATACTAAAGTAATCATGCACGTAAATGAAAAAGAATATTGATGTTGAAGTACCTTAAATGATATAATTTTTAGATGATGCTAATGTACCGGTTGTATAAATATAGAATGATACTGATATATTATTGATCTAGTAAGAATCACTGATAGCATCTCAAATGTTAATATTATTTTATTAAAAGTTTAACTTGCATGCATTTTGCTTTCTTTTTTCTTGTATTGCTTTTGTTTAGGAATATAATTATTCACTGACTTGTTTAACTTAATGTTATTTTTAAATTAACATTTTAGGTTAATTTAATTTATTAAAAGATAAACGATATAAAAGAAAATATTTATAAAAGATGCGGACATCCAGTAACGACGTAAAGTTAAATATACTGCTTAAGTTAATTTAATTAGTGACTCTTTAATTTTGTTAATAACTAGTTATAGAAAATGAAAATCAAAATGTTAAGTCACACCGTCCGACTGTCTATACCGGCCTTAATTAATTCCAAGCTTCGAACTGGGTCGTGACAGGTATTGTGGCAATCTTAATTGTTCCCAAAAAGGACGTATCGAGATGCATGTGAATGTTGTGTATGGAGCCAGATTGTGAAAAAATTTAGAACACATCAGCATTTGGTCGGGCGCCCCAGCGCCCGGCTGCGCACTCCATCGCCTAGTTGCATGCCCCATCACCTGACTAGGAGCCCACGAACAACTCCGGATCAGAGCTCTCGGAAACCTGGTGCCCAGAAGGGGAGCTGTCACGCCAACATACGCTTCTTTTCAGTGTCGAAAGCACAGCGCTTGGAAACTCGACACCAAGGGAGTAGTGCCTAGGCACCTATAACTGATTTTTGTAGTTAAGAAATTTATATTTCATGTTTTTTTGTTGCGACAATGTGTACGACATAACGAATAGTGTGTGCAGAAGAACAAGCGAGGTGGACTTTTGTGATATCTCTTATGCGATAGGGATAAGAGCTTCCTTGAGTGTTCTTGAGTTCCATGGGAGTAGAAAGAGTTGTATGTGGTGTAGTCCGTACATTTCTACAGTTCTTATAGTAATTTTTTTGATGTGGTGTAGCTCCATGGTATTTTCCCATTCCCGGATTTAGCAACGTTAAATATTGGTGTTCCTTGCATTTTGTGTTTTATTACTTTGCGTGCTTCTCTTCTAAGGTTTGCTTCAGATCTCTTGAATTGGTTTCTGTGGTTTTCTCACAAGTGGTATCAGAGCGAAATCTACTGAATTTTTTTTGTTTGAGTGGGAGAAATAGCTGACGAATTGAGCAACAAGGTAGAAAAGTTCATGGATCCAAATTTTCTTTCTGGAAAATGCAAAAAATTTGAGGTATCAAAAGAAATTGTGTTTGTCCCTGGAAAGAATCATCAAGAAGTCTGAATCAATGACTCTAGAAAATGAGAATTATTTGATGAACAACCCTAGGTTTGATCTGACTCTCACCTTCCTCATATGTTGGTTTTAACATTGCAAATGAGAAAACTATTGTGGACCTCATGGTAATAATGATGTACGAGAAGTCTTCAGCTTCAAATAATTTTTTTCTAATGAAGAGGTTGTTCAATATGAAGATGATAGATTGTAGTTCAGTAGCTAAGCATTTGAATAACTTCAATGACTAATCAATTGTGTTTTGTTAGCATCAAGTTCGATGACAAAGTCAAAGCATTGTGAGAAAGTTGAGATAGACTAGTAACTGTGATGAGTAACGTAATATAAAGTTAAACTTTGATGACATAATTGGGTTAATGATGCATGAAGAAGTTTGCAAGAAGGGAAGCGGTGAAACTTCAAATTCATCTTTGAATATTGAAAACAGATAAAAGAATCAAGGTAGAAACAATGGTGGGGAAAGATTCAAGTCCATGAGAGAAAAGTCCAAGTCATGGAGAGAAAAATGTAGAGGTGAATGATAGAACTATGGGAAAAAAAAATCGGTTCAAGCAAGACTGCAAAGCTCCAAATATTGGTGGTGGAGGTCCATATATGAAGCTCTCTATAAATGTCTCCATAGATGACATCCAAGTTGACTCCCTTGTTTTATTCCTAGATAATACTGAATTTTGGATTGTAAATTCAGGTGCCACTTTTTATACATGCTCCAACAAAGCGGTGTTCAAAAACTACTCTCAAATTGATCTAGGGAATGTGTATTTGAGAGATAACAAGGTGTGTTGTATTGTTGGAAATAGTGATGTTAATATAAGGTTGTCAAATGAATCAGTTTGGAAGATTAGTGAAGTTAGACATGTTTTATATTTGAAGAGAATTTTAATTTTTTGAGTGAGTTTGCAAGGTCAAGGTATGTGACTACTTTCACAAGTGATTCGTAAAATGTGACCAGATAGACAATGGTGATGGCTCGTGACAATATTGAAGATACCCCTTCCCTGATCAATGAGATGTCGAAATCTATTTGTGTAACTAGAACAAATATCGGTGTGCAAGTCTTTAGTACCACAAGCTTGATCATATTAGTGGGAAAGGTATACAGTCCCTACTTTTTAAGAACAAACTTCATGATTTACAGACTAGAGTTAATTTTTTGTGAAAATTGTGAAAAGAAAAAGAAAGATTAATTCACTGGTCTATAGGATGCGCATGGTCTTCAATTAACATGCATAAAAATAATGAGTCCAATTTTCTTGCCTTTATATTTTTACTTGTGAGGCGAAGGTGATGACAGGAAAATGTGATCGGCAAGCTAATAAATTACTACATAATTCTTTCCTTCTTTCCACTGGTCCATAATATATTTTTAGAAATAATACAACTCTTTTTGTGGCTATCAGGGAAGAGTTTCTCGGCTTGAGATATATGTGAGGAAAGGAGTAAATCAAAGAGAGGTGCAAATTTGGCTTTATTTTGTGCAGTAAAGCTTGTAAGCATGAAAGAGCAAACAAATTCGCGTGAATATGAAATGGAAGCAACAAAACAAGATCTGCATGATTCGCAAATTGTAAAATAGGAGTGGCTCAGTCTAAGGCAAAGAAAAAGAAATGTGATTGAGAGAGAGCAGGCCTAAATCATTGTCGTGATTTCAAGCTCAAACAAGTAAAAATTCTTCTTAGTTTGTTGTGTCACACGAGCACCCAGGAATCACAAGAAAGCTTTAATCAAGAGTGTGGAGCAGCGCATCAGCTTCAATGTCCAATATAAGAAGAAAAGAGTTTTGATGGTCTTTATGCGTCATGATCCCATCGTTATTTTCCCGGTAGCCCTAGCTAAGAAGTTTTGGGTGTATCTATAGGTTGTGATACGCCATTATTTTTTTGTTGGATTGTGACCAGAGCAAAAGAAGGAAAATCAGTTGGAGGAGAGGTCGCAAGTGACCGTTTCATGCATCCTTTGTGAGTCCCTGCGAATAGGAAGCATATGAAGAAGAGGCTTAGGTCTGCAATTCGAATTTGGAGTTTCAAAGGTCTCATCTACCACGCCCTAACAACGACTCTATTGCAGCTAGCCCTCTTCAAACATAAGAAGACGAGGCTTGAGGAGAGATCCATCGTGCTATTTACCGCGACCGAGAGGATTAAGTAGAACATGTGCTTCAACTAGAGCGGGAAAGGAGACAAGCGGAGCAGTGCTTTGATTCTATTTTTACCGACCTCCAAACTCTCCAAAAGCTTCTCCCTATTTCTTAACAAGGAACGGTTATACATTATTTGAATAAAGCGCCGGACGAAAAAGAGTAGGAACGGTGAATAACTTAGTTTAATTAATTATTCCTTTCTTCTTTTCTTCTTTCTTTTTTTTTATTTTATTTTACGGGTCAATAGTTGCGTCCCTGTGCGCTTAAAAACATGCATTACAAATCATCAAAATAAGCATCTCCACATATATCAAAGGAACAAAATTTACACCTTCGAATAATATCTGCAGCCATTTGGACCTTCAGTGACGAGCATAAGTTTCAGATTAGGATGGAATAGTTTACGAACGACACCATCATCATAAGGATTTTCTCCTCTTGTCAAGAAAGATATTTCCTCTTCACTTACCTGTTTCATGAATTTAATCGGATTCAGTAAGAAGAATTTATAATTTAGACTAAAGAACAGTGAAGAAGTGTACTTTTATGATATCAGCAGTATCCCATATGCTAAGAATTCCCTCTCTAGCACTCTCTGCAGAAGGCCATAATGGTAGTCTCAAGTTAGGATCATAGGAAAGAAGCACCCCAGCATCCTTAGCAGTTTTAGCTGCTGCGACATGAGCAGACTTGCATGGTTCTGTGATAAGACTTATAGATCCATAGTGGAAGATTTTTGCCTAAGTATAATTAAAATATGATAAATATGAAAATTATAAAATCATGAACATTGAAGATGGAACTACATTTGGAAATATGAACATGTTTATAATTACATTCTTTTCCAACACACCTTTCTAATAATATCAAAGTCAATCTCTCCTTCTTCTAGAAGCATGTCAGCACTTGGATTGCGATAAAACATGAATTCTCGTTCTCCATCACTTCGCAATGTGACAAATGCCAAGGCCGTTCTAGCACCAGGATCGAAGCGCAATCCCTCACTGTTCACGTTGTTTTTCTTCAAAATATCAGCTAGCATATATCCAAATTCATCTTCACCAACCTGTGTTTTTACTGAACAACTCAAAAAAGCAGAAAAATACAAAATGATATAAAATAAACGATACAATAGAAGCATTATCACTTAGACTAATTGGTTTTATCTTATGAGGTAGGGTACATTTTCTCAGGATCCAGTTTAGAAGCTCCAGTTGGCTATTTATATGATCTTCACTAGAAGGGAATGACCTGAATTCAGGCCCCAGGAGCTTTATGATCCCATGTAAATCTCATTAGGACACAGACTCAAATAATGGCCCCGCTAAAAGGAATGATAATGCCAATAGAAAATATTTCACAAATTTTAAGGATAAATGTTAATCATAAATAAGCTTGCGAAAATTTCCTAGGCAATGTATTTCTACAATTCAAAAACTTTAAACTTTAAGTTTTTGAATTGATGGGTGCCTATCAATTAGCGTATTGTTCAACTCGACCCTACTGTTCCTCTCCCCTAACAAATGTGCCATAAAGCATGCATTCAGTCAGAAAAATGTGCATGCACTTTTATCCTCTTGGCAATCAATTCTACAAATTACCTATATTGATGAACAAAATTAAATGGAAGTTCAAAGACATAAAAAGCAAAAAAAAAAAATTTCTGAAAATAAATATGACTACAGCATGCTCCTAAAAAATGAAAATGGTATGAAGTTTGGTATGCACTAATCCAACCTTGGAAGTAGCAGAATTATTATTTAGTTAATGCATAAAGTACACTTCCAAGAACTAGTCTGTACCTGAACACAACACATTAAAAATCATCTACAGTAAGCTAGAGGATTCAATCAGGAAATGAGTTGGTTGCTTGGAATCAGAAGCTTATAAAATAACAAAAACTTGTCTTTATGCTAAGAATGGAATTCATCATTCCTAAAATAACAAGTGTTAAATAGGGAATGTTCCCAGTCTACCTTCCCAATAAAAGCAGATTGACCGCCAAGTCGAGCTATGCCCACAGCAACGTTAGCAGGAGCACCTCCAGGTGCTTTCTTGAATGCCGAAGCCTCAGACAATGATAGTCCGCTTGTGGTTGGCACAAAATCGATCAGCATTTCTCCAAAGCAAACAACGAGAGATGAATTATCCAACGGAAGGTCATTATCAGCTGAAAGTGCTTTTATACAATCTGTAGCCATAGGATTATAGTTCAGATCGGGTCAGTGTCAACACGATACATTTAATAATGAAAAGAACGGATCAATAAAATCAAGCAGATAAATTACAAATTAAACCTGGATGACAGATAAAACATTTAAGTGATATTAACTCCGTCTAAATGCTAGACCTCTACTATAACCCTCTACTATAACCAAAAAAAAAAAAGTTGGAACTCTTTTTTAATTCTTCGTCCAATTTTTGTTTTTTCCCCTTTGCACATAATTTCCTTAATTACAACCTACTTGCTAGGGGAAGTCAACCTCTAGACCTACCTGCCAGAGCATATGGTTAGACTAGTCCAAATTCCCAAGTGAGCTTACCATGGGTCCCATGTGTGTCCTAAGCTATCCTAACGCTCGACTTCAATCACCTTAGAAGCATAAGCAAGCCTTAGGCCTAACCCTATTCTAGTACTAGGTTAGAGCAAGCCTAATCCCTTGAGGCATGAGCAAGCCTTTGGCCTAAACCTATTCTAGTACTAGGTTAGAGCAAGCCTAATCCGCTGATCAAAACTCCTTATAGGGGTGTCAATTCCTTAACCCAAGTTTGGCCTTGCTCATCATAAGCTAACCTTAGCAAACCATAGGTCTCTAAAAGGCCCATTGAACCTTAGGTCTACTTAACACATAAGTGATAGTAGAGTTAACCCAAACCATGATAAAAAAATCAAATATTCTTGTTGAATTCAAAATAGGAAAATATAATTGCAAAAATGAAAATAAAAATAGCAACAGACTCAACACAACTGCAACTAAGTTTGTATTTCAAAGAGTTGGTGGCGGTTAGGTGGAGTGGAAGGGTGGCAGTTGATTATAGGAACGAAGGCGGAAGTTTGTGGTTGGACAGCAAAGGAAGGGCAAGAGAGTGTGGTTGGCTGCAGGTGGAGGGTTAGTAACTGTGGTTGGCCAGCTGGTAGGGAAAAAGGGAGGGAGGCAGAGGGCTTGCGGTTGGGGATGACAGGGGAAGGGCAACAAAAGTGCAGGGGTGGCTTGCGGCTAGGAGATTTGCTGGTAGAAAGGTTGGGGCTGCAGGAAGACGGCAAGAAGAGCTGTCCAGCGACTGAAGGGCAAGGTAGACGAGGTGCAGCTGCATGAAGGCAGCAAGGAGAGCAATCCAGCAGCTGCTGGAGGGCAAGGTGAAGAAATTGCGGCTGCAAGAAGACAGCAAGGAGAGCTGTCCGGCGGCTAGAGGCAAAAGGGGAGAGATCTGGAAGGAGTCAACAAAGTGGAACTCCAGAAAAAAAACCAAGGACTGTTTCCGGACGGCTGCAGTGGGTATGGCGACGGCGGCGGCAGAGGGAAGAATGCGGTGGAAGGGAAAATTGAGGATAGTCACCACCTTGGAACAAGACATAGCCGGAGCACCAATCACCCTCGAATACAGCCCTAGAAGGGAGAACTGGAGACGTAGAAGGTTGTCCTGATAGAAAATATACAAGGCACTACCTTAAAACGCCATAATAGCGACCAATATAGACCTAGGGTAAATAGGAGTGGACCCCGCTCCACATAGGAGGAGGGAAGTTCCCGCCTAGAAGGATCGACCAGTCCCTCCTCTGCCTGGACCGAACCGGTCCAGGGGAAGGGGACATGGCAATTTGTTGTGTGTGGGTGTTGGACGCCCGCATTAGTCTCTAGAGGTTGGGAAGCTTCGTCTCATTTATCAAAGCTTCTGCCCACCCATTGAAGCCTTGAAGGTGACGAAGTAATTGTAAACTCTCGGGCTACATCAATTTTATATTGATTGTCGAGTACCTAAAACAACTCTCCACTTTTCGCATCCGGGTCTTAGGACACGACAATGATAGTGTTAAAATCTTTGGGTGATATTCATTCGTAAGGGAATATCCAGAAGTTTTTCTTGATGATTTACTATGGTTACCTCCTATGAGCGAGATTGATATCACTATTAAGCTACTACCAGGTTTTGAGTCAGTATCCAAGGCACCTTATAGAATGGTCGATAAGGAGTTGTAGAAGTTGGAAAAGTCAATTGCAGGTGTTACTAGATAAAGTGTTCGTCGGGCCTAGCACCTCACCATGGGAGCTCCTGTGTTATTTGTGAAGAAGGATGGGAGCTTCAGCATGTGCATTCACCGCATAGAATTGAATAAGCTCAATATGAAGAACAATAAGTATCTATTGCTAAGGATTGATAACTTGTCTGATCCAAGGTTTCTATATTTTCAAAGATTGATTTAAAGTTAGGCTATCACCAACTAGGATAAAGAGGAAGATATAGTGAATACAGCTTTCGGAGCAGATATGAGCACTATGAATTTGTGAAGAATGTTTGGGTTGACTAATGCTCAAATAATTTTTATGGATCTAATGAATAAGGTTTTCTGACAATTTTTTTTTATAATTGTGATTGTATTCATAGATGATATCCTGGTGTATTCAAGAGATGAAACCAACCATACAAATCATTTGCATATTGTTCTGCAGGTTTTTAAGAAGAACAAGCTGAGCTTAAAAGTGTGGCTTTTCTTGGGTATATTATTAACGGAGATGACATATCTATGAATCAGTAAGATTAAGGGATTGCAGATTGGCCAAGGCTTACTACTATTACTGAGATTATGAGTTTTCTAGGTCTAGTTGATTTTTATATGAGATTTGTAGAGGGGTTTTACAGATTGCTATGTCATTATCCATATTAACTCAGAAAGCAGTGAAGTTTGAAGGGTCGGACCATTGTGAGGGAGGCTTTCCAGAAACCGAAGACTAGTTTATTGATTATTCCTTCAAGTTTAGATGGGTTTTAGGACTTTAGCGACACCTCATTAAAAGATTTGGATTGTATACTTGTACAACATGGAAGAGTCATTGATTATGTTTCAAGGCAATTGAAGAATCGTGAAAAGAATTATTTCACATAAGATTCAGAGCTAGCAACAGTTGTGTTCGCACTTAAAATATGGAGTCATTATTTGTATGGAGTTAAATATGAATATTAATAGATCATCTATATTTAATGTATATATTCACTCAAAAATAAGTGAATATGAGACAAAGAAGATGGTTGGAGTTTATTAAAGATTATGATTTGAAAATTCAGTATTATTTGGAAAAGGCAAATATAGTGGCAGATGCGTTGGATAGAAAGGTTTTAGGTAATTTGAATATTTTATTCACTCAACATGAGCAATTACGAGAGGATTTTGAAAGACTGAAGCTACCTTTGATTTTTTAGGGTGATGACAGTATGATTCAATTGAATCAGTTGTCTATACAATCCATTTTGAAGGGTAGAATCAAAGATTCACTAACTACGGATATCACTACTCCGAAGATATTGGATTATGTCAAGGCTGAAAATTTGGAGAAATGTATGTTAGGCATAGATGGAATGTTGAGATAAAAAGACATGATTTATGTTCCAAATATTGATAATCTGAGGAGGGAAATTCTAGAGGTGGCACATTTACCTGACCATATTATTCACCCACGGAGTAATAAAATGTATCAAGAAGTCGAGAACATATTTTGGTGATCAGGACTAAAGATGACTATAATATAATTTATGAATAAGTGTCCTACATGATAATCAAGGTAAAAGATCAGCATCATAGAGTTCTATTACAGCCTTTATTGATTTCATGGTAGAAATGGAAGGAGATTAGTATTAACTTTGTAATTGGATTGCCTAGATCGCGACATCGTCGGGATGTTTTATGGTTAATTGTTGACAGATTGACCAAGTCTGTCCATTTTTTTCCCATTAGATAGACAGATCCAATTGAGAGTTTAGCTATATTATATATGGATCAAATTGTTAGATTGCATGGAGTGTCAAAATCTATTGTCCAACAGAAAAGACAAATTTACTTTTAAATTGTGGAAGAAGATTAAGGAAGCTTTGAGCATCATACGGATGGTCAGTCAAGAAGGACTATTCAAACTTCTATTTCAAGAAGGACTATTCAAACTTTTATTTCATATGAAGTTTTGTATGGAAGAAAGTGTAAAAAACCAATATGATGGGCTGAAGCAGTTGAAAGAAAAGTCATTGGAGCTATGTTAGTCAATGATGTTGCTAAACAGATTAGACTAATTAGAGATAGTCTAATGACAGTGAAGAATAAACAAAAGAAATATGATGCTAAACATGGACCAAAGGAGTTTGAAGTTTGAGAGTTTGTCTTTATCAAATTCAGTCCATTGAAGGGTGTGCAATATTTTGAGAAAGGAAAATTAAGCCATAGATATGTAGGTCCATATGAGATTATAGAAAGGATTGAAAATGTGGCTTACAGATAGGCTCTAGCAGCTCAAATGCAGGGATTGCATAATGTTTTCATATTATTTTCACTTAGAAAGTATATTGCAGATGAATAAAATATGATGATAGCAAACCCAGTTTAACCAAAGAACCATTTCATTTGAATGTTGAAGGAGCAGAAAAAATGATAGTGAGTCTACAAATAAAAAAAAAGTTAACTAGATATTATGCAAAGCGCTTGGCATGGATATGACACAAAAGAAGCAAAAGTAACACAGAGAGATAGATCTTGCAATGAGTGAGATTTTCAATTTGTTGGGGGTATGTTCAACAACAGTATAGAGAAAAAGAGTAGTGGAAAATTGTTGTTTTTTTAATGTCAAATATGCAGAGGGTGTTGATGTCATGGCCCGACCTAGGGGACATGAAATTATCAGAGTGAATTGAAAGACAGGATAAAATTGAATTTATATCACTAACTAATACAAATAATCATGCAAATAAATTGAAAAACCACTAATGATTGAAAACTAATTAAAATAACTAAAAATTAAATTATCTTCCTTCAAATTGACTGTCTTTTATAAGCATTTTTCCCTATGTTACTAATTCTCTAATCAAAGATTAAACTTGAAATTGTTCAATTATATTAATACTTATATTTCTAAACTATAGTAACTTCCGAAAATAATATACATGTTAATCAAACAGAATAAATCAATATAAAAATAAATGATAGTTTAC